TGTGCGAACCATCACGCGTGACGGCGTGCGTGGAGGATCTACGCAAGATGTCCACTGACCCCATGAAGGACCTTCAAGTGGCGGAGGACGCTGCTGGACTGGAGCAAAAGTGCAAGTGTGTGGCCCTTTTCGTGAAATTACAGATCTTATATTGTTACGACGAAAAAGAAATCTTCCGCATCATTGGCTGTCACGACTAAACATGGAATGCAGTAAGGGCTATAGCGGGAAATAAGACTGTCTCGTTCCATGAGCACTTCTGCGGATAACCACAGCCATTAGGAATAAAATGCTGATTAAGCATAAAAGTTAACCTTGTGTATACCTTGAAAAAAAGTTCATGTTACGCATCATATATGTGAAGATATCTATGTGGTGCTCCAGCGAACAACAGGGTGTCTTGAAGCGGCAGTTGGTACATTATACTGAGGGGAACAGCGCGAAAACGGGACGGAGAAAGAATGATCAACAAAACACAAGCGCTGACGAACAACTGTGTGTAAATATATTACAGCGGGAAATATATAGCTGAAAACGGAAACAAAAGAAAAATTCACAGTATCTCTGCAAGGGCGAAGCAATGAATGCGACAGCAACAGCTTGAAATGTAACGCTGAGAACTCCACGCAGGTCAAAACGTGCAGCGCGCTACCGACGCACACTTGACACACAAAAACAACAAAGGACGAGAGCGAACTAACAAGCACGTTTACCGCTCGACACTTAACGCGCTGTTCAAGCAAAAACGACGCACGAAACGTAATCACAAGTACAGATGAGTGCTAACTAACAAGTGGCCCAGTTGCTATACTTCGCTGTGTATTAAAAGCGCGCTCTTTTCGTGAACAGGGAATGCGCAGCGAGCGAAGTGGCCTTTGTGGGCCCAGCAACTAACTCAATCGTTCTGGTGAAAGCCGAAGGCAAACGATTCTCCCTACCGAAGTATAAGCGCGCGCGCACAAGCATGTGTGTGCGTCCCGGTCTCTTTCGTCCACCTCTGTTTAAAAAAGATAGCCATAGAATAAAGAGTCACCCGAGGCAACCGCGTAGGCGCATACGCACCCGGTACAGAATAAAACAAAGCGGCAATTTTTTCTAAAAAAACAAAAGAAAACAACTATCGTTTTCCGCTTTCTGTTTACTCATATCGCTCGGTTGCCCACGGCTGGGCTAGACTGCACCTGCGCACGCTTACCTGCGCGCGCTTGCGCAGGTGCAGTCTAGCCCGGCCGTGGGTTGTCCTCGGCAGTTCCATGCGCCACCGCTGCTTTATCTTGCGTACTGTTGTCAAGCCTACAGTTTTTCTTCTCTAAATTGGTTCTTTATTCTGAGGGTGCACTGCATGTGCCAAACGCTCGGGCACTGCTGCGCCGTGTGTTCATCGAGCGGCCGTGCCTCGGGTATGCTGAAAGGGTACGCTGGTGGCGTCTGTTCGTGCAGAGCGCGCTCGCAAAGTGGACAAACAATATGGCATTTGCGATACCTTCACAAAAGCTAGCGCGCCGAGCTGCAGATTCTTAGCACCGCCGAGTTTACACGGACATCAGTGGCGCTGCCATTGAGTGCGTCACCGCTGAGCACGCGTCTGCACACACACGTTGGGCTAATAGGGTTGAGTATTGCGTGCTTGCGGTGATGTTTTTGTGCCACTGCATACAGATTGCTTATATACACGTCACGTCGTATCTAACGTTACTTTTAATATATTTTTTTCATTCTCAATCACTCTTTCGGTGTATCGCCTAGAACCGCAGTGCTCAAATGAGCTTTAACGGAAAGATGAGCACACGCCCATCTTTGCGGCCAGGAGCCATACAGCCCCTGAACTAGCGTCTTTTACTATCTGCTATGCACGCGAGGGGAGAGGAGCCTGCACATTGTCGTGAATGATGCTACTTAAGTTTTTTTTTTTCAGGGCCTTTACACGTCATCTTACACGCATTCTCTACTGCTGCACCGCGCGGCGCACGAGCCAACAGAAACGGCTGCTGTGCCGCACGGAAGTGAAGTTATGCACTTTTCTGGTTAGGCGCATCGTTTGAATAGTCGGAGTGTCTAGCGTTACGTAACGATAGAAGTCGTTAAAGTTATGTCCAAAGGTGAAAATAATTAATCTTGAAGTTACGTTCAGCGTGACAAGAATAGAAAACCGGCTTGTTAAACCATACGAACCGATCGGCAGCTGGAGCGTAGTTGGCTAGCGTGGCACACTGACATCCATTAAAAAAATGGCAGCATATCCACGGAGTGAATAATGGAGAGTGGGGCGAAGCATTCGTCCGTCCATTCGTTCCTGCTTCCGTCCGTCCATGCGTCCGTCTGTGTGACCGTCCATGCGTCCATCCGCCCATCCGTGCGTGCGTCTGTTCGTGCGTCCGTCCCTGCGTTCGTCCATGCATCCGCCCCTGCGTCCGTTCATGCGTCCATCCATGCATCTGTCTGTGTGTCCGTTCGTCCATCTATTCAACACTCCAAGTACCACCATCTCGCATATTTTCATCATATATTCCCCATATAGAAGCACCGCCATTCAGCGAACATTCCTAGGACTAAACGAGAGGTGGCACACGCGCACTTTCTTACGGTTTGCGCTTCGGGACCACTTCCCTCCTTTAACCACCTCAAGTTCATGGTATATACTAGTTCACTGTATTTATGGCACTGCCGCCCTACGCCCGCTAAGCCTTTCTAAAACCAAGGAGGTTACGCCCAGCGAGTATAACGTAGCAACCTTTTCTTGTCAGATCGTGCTCAATGTACATGCCAATGGTTGCTAATAGGGAATGAGAGACAGGAGAATTCGGCTTTTACTTTCTTACGGCTTGCGCTTCGGGTCTACTTCCCACCTTTAACCACCTCGAGTTCATGGTATATACTAGTTCACTGTATCCATGGCACTGCGGCTCAACGCTCGCTAAACCTTTCTAAAACTAAAGAGGTTACAGCCAGCGAGTATAACATAGCAACGCTTTCTTGTCGAATAGGGGCTCAATGTGCATGCAAATTGCTGCTAATGGGGATCGCAGCCTGCGCGTTAACTAAAAGCCGAATGCTCCTGTCTCTCATTCCCCCTTAGCAGCCATTGGCTAGTACATTGAGCGCTATCTTTTATTGTTCAACAACGCACAGAAGAAATCTCTCACCGGCACCACCTTGGAGGTCAAAATGTTATACTTGTCACACACTACAACAGCTACGAGGGATGAACTGGTGCCGCTATAAGGAGCTTCACCCCTAAAAAGGCTGAACGATGCATCCCCGCTCACCCATACGGGCGCTTGTGAAGCCACCGGAAGGTCTCTTCGGTGTCCAGGAAGCTAACGTCTTCTGGACATTTTAGGCGTGTAATTGATATATTATCTGGTGGCAGTAGTTGTGATCGTAAATTTTGTGTTTTTTTTTATACTATATTATTTTCGCGGTCATCCAACGCTACACGAAAAGTGACAGACGCCGTAGTGACACCGCTCGAATATGGCGCAGTGCTGTTACGTACAACATTACAATTACTCGTTAGTCAGGTGACAAAGAAAAAAAGTGTCACTGCATTTAAAGAAAATAAAGGAATAAGTGCACTGGTAGCCACTAGGGCAAAGGTCTGTCTTTTGTGATTGATCCGAGAAGAAAACAATGTTGGGACGACATAGTTTCGAAGATGAGTTTTTGGCCGAGAGGTCAAACATGACTCTGCGAAATGGTCCCCGCAAAGTCTGCTTCTTGGAGATGGCGTCCAGTTGTCCCTCTTTAACTTACTGACCCACTTTTTGTATATTTGAAGCCTCGAGCGTAGGAAACTGCATATCAACAAACCAAACACTTTCAGTGGATGTATGATCGGCTAAGGATGTATGATCGGCTAAGGGTGATGAATATAGATGAACATGGGTCCAGAAGCTTAGGTAGTGATCACAAACGTATCAAGCTGAGTTTTGGAAGAGAAATGAAAAGGGAAAGGGGTCATTATGAGCAACCACACGGTAATATTTATTCAATAAGGCAAATAGAAATAGCAACTGAAGAGGTTGAGAAAATATTGACCGAGGATACTAAAGCAGAGTGGACGTACACAAATCTAACTCGATTGTTTGAGTTAGAGCTTGCTAAGGTACGAGTCAAATCAACCGGGAAAAGGAGACACAAACCCAAGAGCTGGTGGATGAGGAAGTCAAGAGAGCCATAGTAAGACGTCAGGAAGCCTCCAGGGAACACAGCTATGCTAAACAGAGGGGTGAACCGGAAGAGGATGTAAAAAAAAAGGATAACGTTTAGAGCTACAGAAGGGAAGCGTCCGATCTGATGAGTGAAAAGATTAAAAGGGAGCCTAATGGATGGCGGAAGTAAACAAAAAGAATAGAATGGCAGCTGCAAAGTTTTGGAACGATCCCAATTCTCTGAGTAATAAGAAGAGCATAGAACAGAGGTTTATAACTACAGTTCAAGGGGTTAGGCTTGAAAGCGATTAGGCAAGGGAATATATAAGAACAATGGTGACAGTAAAATATCAACACAAAAAAACGCTGCGTGCACCGTACCAGATGAGGATGGACCAATTAGCGCAGTGGCCCCACTGGGACAACGAAAGTGGGAAAGGGCAGAGAAGAGGGTTCCTAATAGCACATCAACAGGCCCTGACGGCAAATTATGCTAATAAAGAAACCAGGAGCAGACTTTAAGCAGACATTAAGAGAGGCAGCGAGCAAAGCAATAATGGATGGTGAAGGCCTCAATGAGTGGAAACTAAGCAGGATGAGCATGATCTATAAAGGAAAGGAGGACAAAGCCGATATAAACAACTGCCGTCCTTTAACAGTGACGTCAGTAGTTTATAGGCTTGTGGCGATGCAGATAGTAAACGAAAGACTACAGACATGGGTGGAGAATGAGAGGGTGCTGGTAAAACTATAAAATTGGTCCCGTAAACGAAGAAGGTTGGAGGACAATCTGTTTTCATTGATGCAGTGTATTGAAATAGTGATAAAAGAACACAGACCGTGTTGCTGGCATTTCTAAACATCAAGGGAGCTTACGATAGTGTGATTCAAGAAGACTTGTGAGGAATACTGGGTACACTAGATGTGGAAGACGTACTAACTATTCATCTAAAGGATATCTATA